TCTCGAGGTACAGCGGTATTTCCCCGTAGATCAAAGATCGATACTGTTATCGATGGAAAAACTTTCGAGAAGTATTTTTTGCCCCTCTCATTCTTCTGTGCTTGTTTTGTAGCGCTGATTGTTTCAGTCCGATTGAGACCGGTTTGGCTGAGGAACGATTGCGCACTCGATTGGAAGAAATTAACCACAGTGTAAAAGTGAAAATTTTGTGTTTGTACGGACAAATGCATGAGGATGATCGAGCCGAAGTCTTCGCACCACTGGAACCAGGCTACCATCACAAGGTTCTTTTTTTTCGAATTTTTTTTTTTCGTTATTTTGCAGCAGCATCGTTGGAGAACCACTAAAATCTGTTGTGTTATCCTTCTGGAATGGGAGAGTAAGCATGGGACGGATACCAGGAACACTTGGCAACGGTAGATGGAGCAGCTTTGGCCAACATAATCATGGATAATTGGCCAGCGCACCGACTGCCGACACGAAGATGCGCCTTTTGCATAGCTCCCCGCAGGTTTTTATCGCTAACGGCACTGTTTTTTCCAGCAGATGCTCCCAGCTAAAAGAATTGAGACTGGCCACTACGACCGTGAGAAAACATTCCTTCAAAAATTTAAACTTTCTAGCTTTTCTGGTTCCCGAGTTAGCATCTTGCCCGTAAAAAACATTGACGGGCCCGTATGTGGGAACTCTATGGGTAAAAGCGTCCATTTGGGAATTGGAGCCCGTGCACGCAGTACATTAAATTCCCAGAGTTTCAGCCTTGTAGCTTTTGTAGGTCTCGGGATGAAAAATCGGTACAGACAAACACACACAGAAGTCCCTCGACAATATTTTGCATTGCGTAAATGGAAAAAAAAAAACGAATGAAAATTGCACAGTTTCATCGATGACATGAACTGGCTTGTTCTTGGACAGGGAACACTCTTAGAATTTCAGCTTCCCAGCTTTTCTGGTTATCGAGTTAGCAGTTTTCCCGCTAAAACCTTCACATACCCGTACTTGGGTACTCCACATGCTTGGAAAGCTGAAATTATGGCTGTTCAAAAAAAAAAATAAATGGCAACGCGCACCAGACTAGCCGGTGCGATCATGCGTTTTATGCAATTCAGTCCATCGAACGATTGTCTGTTAATGATTTTCAATGCTTTGTACCTTAGTCTATGCA